TAGAGTACTTGAGCCTATGCATATGTTTTCCCTAATGTATATAGACCTAGGATAAACTTTATCACGTACACACAATAGGAGATTTACAAAAAATAAAGAGAATAGAACAAAATAACAAAATGCCATAATCAAAGTTATACGAAGGTGGTCTCTCACAGCATCTTACTGTACCGTTGCCTTTACACTTGCACATGTCTGGAGGCCAGAGGACAACATCAGCTGTCATCCTCATAAATGCTGTACTTCTTTTGAGATGGGATCTTTCACTGGCTTGCAACTCATCAATTTGGTCAGGCTGCTTGTCTAACAAGCTCCAGAGAACCTCTTGTCTCCTTCCTAATACTGAAATTCCCAATGCATACCCCCATGCCTGGCCTTTTCTTTGGATTTTGGGGATAAAATTCAGGTCCTCATGTTTAAATAACAGGCACCTTACCAACTAAGCTATCTCCCCAGACTAACCTGTCCACTTAAATGACAAATTTTATAACTTTTATTTGACATGTCTGATTGTATGGGTGTTACCATCCTTATACCTGAACGCACTGTAATATCATGACACTTAATCTAATAAACTGGGATGGCTACTATGTACAGTGTGTATACACTGGATAAAGGAGTGACTTATGTACCAGGCAAGACAGTGTGGTGCTACTTTGTTTTACCATGCTACATAGAGGCAATTATTTCTAGAATCTTCCATAGGCAACTGATTTTGAAAGTAATGAGGGACTGAGTTACACATATTTTGAATCAAAATTATTTCTCATACCAGTTGCATACCTTTTCATTTTCCTCTTTGTCTAGAGGATGAGCTAAGACAGTGGGAAAGGTTTTAAATTCTGACTACTATAGTGGCTACTGTGTGATTATTGCATAATTTGATAACTTCACTAAGGTAAATCAGTCAGAGGCATAAATATCTACTTTCTAGTTCCAAAAGAAAGCTCTTTATATGTTACTCTCAAAAATCATAGCCAACGATACTATTCTTTTGAAATAGATACAAAGAACTGCATTTTGGGTAGAGATGGAGCTAGGTGGCTCAGTGCTTGACTAACAAACACATCAAGACCCTGGGATAAATTTCCTGTGTTTATAAAGGGAAAAGGAGATCATTTTATGTTTTGAGAAAGTCTCCACCTCTCCCACTGACAGGAGCTGGCCAAGTCCACTCACCTCGCTCAAAGTGTTCAGGAGTCATTAGTCAAAGTCTTTTTGTTTTTGTTTTTTTAAATGGTGGAAAGCAAGTGCTTGGATATGACTTTCTTTTCTTACACACCAATGTCCTTCACTGTCCTAGAACTCAATATAGATACTGCACACTCAAAATACCGATTGTGAATATATTGTACAACTTCTATTTTTTAAATGAAATATGGTCAATCTTATACTTCTGGGGAAGTAGAAGACTCCTGTAGTTTAAAAAGACTGACATTAGATAAAGTTTCAAGGGGTAATAAAAAACTTTTTCTCTACAATATAAAACTTAGCATTAATATTGGCATCAGGGATCCTCTGCATTTTCATTTGTGTTTTTGCACTAAGATCATTTAAGAAATCAGATACTCTGTTATAATGTTTTATTTCTTACATTTTAGGTTTCTTCCTATCTTGAATTTGCCAAATTTAACAAAGATAGTTAATTAAACTCTTGATAAAGAAATAAAATTTGAAGTTTACTAAGTCTCTGGAAATGCTCCTTCAGAGAAGACGTTAAATTATGCAGTATTAAATAGTGTCTCTCTTGGACCAAACATGGAGATCTGTTTTCACCTGAAGATCTCAGGACTGCAGATGGGATTTCTGATTGACATTTGTACTTAACAAACAAGTTGCATAAAAACAAAGCAAGTTCTCTGAAATTTCTTCACATTCTATCTGCTGTTTATCCACATTCCCCAAATTGACTCATGTCCTGGATTCTGGCCTTCCTAATGAAGACATGGACTTCATGGACTTGTGACCAAGGGCAACTTGTCTAAGGGGAAGAGAAACTGTACCATGAGCAATTTAGACTATCACTAGGCCAATAGATAAACATTTTCCAAAGAAAAAAGTAATACTCACAAAAGAAAATTTTCCCAGAGTAACTGTGATTTTCTTACAAAAGAAAAATTACCCTTTTCAGGAGAAACAGCAATTGCTATTCAGGGAGGAATGCAAGTTTTGGTGTTTTGTTCTATCATGTGTCCATAATGTAAAGTCTACTTGTGTTTCTGTCATAGGAACTGGTGCTCCACGTATGGAGTATGGAGGATGAGCTCCCCCAATCTAAGCATAATCTAAAGATGGGCAAAATGAGCATCAGTGTGTTTTGAACACCCTGGGTTACATGTGGGCATGTGCATGGGTATGTGCTACACTTACTGTATGAAGGGAGACGAGTCCATTGTGCTCGTCTAAAGAAGTGTTCGTTAAACTAAGTTTACTTTCTTTAAGATCTGGTTAACATCCTGAATAATAAAATGTCATGTGCTCAGTAAACAATTAGCCTTCTCAAATCTGAAACAAGCCATGCTTTACAGCTGGCTCTTGTATATGGCAGGTATGTTGCCTTAGGGACGATTCGGGACAATCATTCCAGCATGAGAGGGGAAGAAAAGAATCTCATATTCTTCTTTTGAAGAATCCGGATCTATACTCCGGAGACAACACAGCTTGCATTGCAGTGTTTTCCATTTACACTGCAATTCTAAGCTACAGGAAAATAGCATACAGATGTGCCGTTTGTGATGAGGAGACTCTTTCATGCCAGAATCCACAGTCAGGAACATGATCGCATTTTAAAAAAGTATTAGCATTGTATTTTTCACAAACTATCGCTTGTGCATAACAAACAATTAAAAATAACACATGAGGTAATTAATACCAGTATCTCCAAAGTAACCATTCTTCAATGACAAATCAAAACTGAGCACTTGTATTTTTGAGAGCCTCCAATCAATGCTTCCTTCAACCAGCAAATGAAGATCCTATCAGATATTCATGGTGTATATGGTTACTGTGGAGGCACTGAGGCCCCATAGGGGCTTCAGCCCTATTCTAGAAGGTTTACTGAGCAACGATTTACAATTTTTGAGGGGTGTGAGTGTGTGTATCTGTGTAGGACTATGTGTGTATGTATGTAGGAGTATGTATGCTTGTGTGTAGGGGTATATGTACATGTGGAAGTCAAAGAACAACTTTCGATATAATTCCTCAGTTACCATCCATTTTAGTTTTTTAAACAGAGCTTCTCATTGGCATATTCTCAACAAATAAGCTAGGCCCATTGTTTTAAATCACTCCTTGCATTTAATGAGTTGAAAAATCACTAAACTCTATTCACTGTAGTGTTTATGATCCAGAAAGCTTGCTGAAGCTAGACAGGACAAATGGGGGACATTTTTGGTGTGTGTGTGTGTGTGTGTGTGTGTGTGTGTGTGTGTGTGTGTATGTGTGTGTGATGTGTGTGTGACTTTATAAACACTTAAGCCATCCGTGAACTGCTAGAGAGACATCCATGAATGCTTCTAGTCGTTTTGTTTTCAGATAACACATACAACACATGACATTCTAGACAGAGATTCACTGTTATGCAAATGTTCAAGAAAAAAAACCCTACAGTTCAAGAAATGAAGTACCATAAGAACTAAAACATGGATTTTACATTTTGTCCAAATATTTGTCCCAAAGTGGTGCAGTATTAGATAGAAACACTATCTTTCACTTTGTAGAAAAAGATTTAATCTTTTAAGTTACCTGCTTTTTCTTTTTTAAAAGTGTACTATAAATGCTGAGAGTTTACCTTATTCATCTTCACAAATGCTGATCTTGTACATTCCTGGCAATATTTAAACCTTATTAAATATTATTGCCTGGGTCATGAGCAGTTATACCAGTGTATAAATTTATGAAGTGACACATTTTTTAGTGCCAACCATCTATGTCAATTTACTCCATAATAACACATTCCATCAAATTAAACTGTAAAATATCTCCCACATTTGTTTTACATTCTATACATATGGCTTATGAATAGCGAAATTTTGATGAATTCCAGCTGCTTTAAATATGCAAGCCAACTCTTATATAACAGATTCTTTTCAATTCTTATTTTATTCATTGAGGCCCATTTTAAGTGGGCCACCTGGTAGGATAAAGGACCAATATATGAAGGAAAAACAAGCAAAACAAAACAAAAATCACTCTGCCTAACTTAAGGCCACTTTCACCAACCTATATTGCTTTTATATTTCTAAATAAGTGGGAAGTAACCATAACCTTTGGGGAAAGTTACATCAAAATTTAACCAATCTAGCAATGCTACAAAGCACCAATTGTTCATTTTTCTATTGTAATAAGAACATTAAAATAACTTGTACCATTCATGTGCATTGCCCGTTTTCATAAACCTATAATGCACAGTTTGATCTCCTCTCACACTCCCCACACTCTCCCACTTCCATGCAGCTGGAATTCATCAAGGATGTAGGAGCCAAGTCAACTGCTGACCCCACCCTCCTCCATCCATTTTAAGGCACCTTCAAAGCCAGTGCATAGATCTAGTTCAGTTTTGCCAACAAACCCTGCCATACTGCCATTTAAGACTCCAGTTTAAGGTTCTTATAACTGCATATTGACATGCAAGCTTTGATTTGGGGTCAGAAGCTTCAGCTGTACCAAGTGTTAGCAGGCAAACATACCCCTTTGTGACATATCTTCCTCTTTCAACCTTTTCGCCTTTGTTCTTGGTGTTGACCTCTTTCTTTTGAGCAAGTTCTCTGATAGACCCCATAGCCAGTTCTGAAAACACACTGTATTTCCTTTCCAAAGGTCAAAACATAGTGACCACTGTAGCCATCCACACACATTGCCCCCGACATTTGCATGCCCCATATAATCCCTGCACAACAGCAAAGGGTGGCCGTCCCAACGTGCACAGAGTCACACTTGTCAAGATACATGCAGCAGTAGCGGAGACAGAGGAGCTCCAACAGGGAGGGCAGAGAACTTACTTTGTTGCTTCCCTGTGCACGCAGCCACAAGGAAGGAAAAAAGAGAGAGAAATATGTTAAACACAGATTTATTTAAAAATGATGGTTTTTCTTGCTAGATCAGAATCCAAATGAATAACTGAACTCTTCGCTGACATCCCACTGTGTATATCCAAAGCTCATGCACAAGTCAAAGAATCCATGCAGGGTAAGTGAAATCGTGCGTTTACAAGAGCAGAGATCGCCCCCATCCCTTTTCTACTCAGAATACTTGGGGTATGGGAACCAAGCCAGAAAGAATTGGTTTGAATTGGTAATAAGTGAACCGCTAGCATGAAAGGCAGAGACGTTAGTGTACTGGCTTGACTTTCCTGACAGCCCCTCCTCCAACATGCCAAGCAGTGGAAAATTTCATCAGTCTAATACTTTTTTTTAAAACAAGCACTGCATCCTTGGCTTCAAAAAAGGTGGAATTAATTTTTTTAAAAAGGAAGCAAATGTTGAGGAAAGGAGTGGGTGGTTTGGGGCAGTGGAGGAAGCTGAGCATCGTACAGGCTCCATGTGTGCCATCCTATTCTTTGGGAAGTTAGGAGTTTTTGTCTTGGGTTGGCATGGGAAGTCAAGACTGTATAGTGGGGCTTCAGCCAAAATAAACAATAGTCCTCATTCAACAAAATGGATCTGGAAAGGTTAGTCATAAAGATGTAGACATTTCTAAAAGCAACACTGTGTACGGAGACGGAGCAGCCAGTGGCGAGGAGTGGCGGCCAATGACTCCTCTGTTGCAAATTGAAGCTGTGAGAGTATGATTTACATCAAACAATTTAACTCACATATGGCCTAAAAAAATAAAACGGTGATTCATTACTCCCAGAGCAGCCCAAGTCCTTGCAAGGTCAGATCCTGTGGGGGAGATGTGATGGGATGTGGGTCTGGAACAGATCTGAGCTCTCCTCTCAGGGGTCCAGAAATAATGTCTCTCTGAGATGCGAGGTTGCAGAGAGCTGTAGGAGAAATGTGTGCACCAGGGAAGACTGGGAGCAGGAATGGGCCAGTGTAGAGAGCTGGCGTTTACATTTAGGTTGAGGATGTGAGGGGGGGAAATACACAAAGAAATACTCTGGGAGAGTGGGAAGGCAATGAATAATCCCAGGAGCAGCTTTGCTTGAGCTCTGTGCCAGGTGGTAACCTAAAGGAAACCATCTCTTCCAGGGACTGTTGCAGCCATCATGTTTAAGAAGGAAAATACAAATGCACTGATAAAACCATGTAGAGAAATTTCTTAAGCATTGTGGGTTGTTACAGTATGGTTATTAACACACTAACTTAACAGACACATAAATAATGACAAGAATGAAGGAAGAAAAAAGTTAAACGCAAAGCCCAAAGGAACCCTTCCTGAAGATGATGCCAACTGTTCAAAAAGGCAGTAAAGGTCCCACTGGGAATTTTACTATGAGCAAAAGACTATTTTAGAGAACAATAGGACCCTGGCTCTCCTAAGAAGAACAATAATGCTGAAAATACCTCAGACAGATGGAGTTTATTGCATTCCACAGCAGAGCAGCTTTTGATCTAGCAAAGCAGTTTCAGGAGTTCAACCAAGTCTTTCTGCACATGAGGGAATGACTAGCCTCCCCACTCAGTGGCAGATGGTTCAACATGTAGCAGCAACAGTGATGTCACTGTATAGGATGCCCTGATCCTCACAAAAAAGAAACACAGAAGGGGAGGATGTGTTGGTTTGGGCCAGTTGCTGTTTCATTCAGTTAGTTCCCAGTCATCTATGTAGTGAGAAGCATGGCAGTCCTGTATGATGGATGGTGTTTTAGGACCTTTGGAACTGGACACACAGCTGTTCAGAGTACTGGGTAAAGCACTGGGGGCGGGGGCGGGTGAGCCATGTGTAGTGGGGTGCTGGATCCTCCTGTTCCTGTACAGACTGCTGAATGACAATATATGAGTGGCCATCACATTTGTAAATGTTTGTGGAAGTCCATGGCCATTCCTTTTTTTCCCTGTTGGGAAGACACAGGGACTCTTTGTTTCAACTATTATTTGACAGAGAGGAAAAATTACTGAAGAGTCTTCAAAAAATAACTTATTTCTGAGGTGCCAAAAGGACCTTAGTGGAAGATGGTTTCACCCACAAGGTGTTCAAAATCATTGGTTATAGCTGCAGAGTCCCTAGTTCATAGGGGAAGCTGGGAGTCAGAGCTCTGAAGAAGCAGCTCACACTGGTTCATACTGGAGGGTATCTAATAGAAACCTCTCTGTATATAAGTAAGTGTGTGTGTGTGTGTGTGTGTGTGTACATGCATGCGTGCATGTGTGTGTGTGTGTGTGTGTGTGTACATGCATGCGTGCATGTGTGTGTGTGTGTGTGTGTGTGTGTGTGTGTGTGTGTTTTGCAGGGCATAGGAACCTCTTAAAATGCTCAGAGGTTTCTTACTTAACCGACTTTGCACCCAATAATTTTCAGGGCTTGCTTGGATCTCACATTGCCTTTTTCCATGGCTGGAGGGCCAGCTTCTAAGAGAGCAGGCATGCTGCTCTTGGGTTGCCTGGCAGCCCCTGGGCTTAGCTCTGCCCTCCTGATTCAACCTTGAAGGTTGGCCTGTCCACCAGGGATTCTCAGGACTTCCTCTAAGCAACTAAGCTTCCTAGTTAACAATGAGGAATTTGTCTCTGATACAGTCAAATCCTACTAACAATTTCCAAAGAAAATTTAAACATAAAGTTTAGAATCACCACTTTGTATGCACATTCAGGATGTCAAAGAAAAATGTTATGCAGCCCTGAACACAGTCAGTGGCTGAAGGCATGGAGCTAGTTGTGATGTCCCAGAACCTTTTTTCTGAAGGTGTGTTCTGAGCTTAGAAAAGTATAGATGACTGTTGAGATAGTCAAGGTACCTAAGTCATAGGACTAATACACAGCAGTGGCAGGATTTAAACAAAGACTATATTTGCTTACATGTCTACTCCATTCCACTGCACAGTTCATGTTTCAGATTTTTTGAATTTAGAATTCCTTAGTGTCATATCAAAAGCTAACAATATTGTGTTCAAAAGTCATGTTTATCAGATTATGCTCCTCAGATTAATTCACATTTATTTATAATCAAATTTATGAGAAAAGGTTTATGCACATGTGTTGGTAAAATAGTCTTTTGAGAGTTTTAATAGTTCCTAACCACTAGGATACACACACAACTTTTATATTATTCTGAATAGTTAACTAGACATTCCATTAAAAGCATCTTCATTTTGAAATTGTGTAAAGTCCTGTATACTTTGCATCATTTGGTTTTATAATGGTTATAACTTCAATTTAGTAGCCAAAAGAAGTAGAATTAGAAGAAATTGGGTCAGAGGAGAAGACTCTGTTGGCAAAGCATCTGCAACAGTGACATGAAGACCTAAGTCAGATGCTCAGCACCTGGGGAGGTGGTGCAGGCCTGTGATTACAGGTCTGGCTGAGCCAGCTAGTCAGTGAGGTAAGCTCCAAAGAAGAAAAAGATGTATAGGAAAGGAATGCAAAACAAAGGATATGCTTTCAAAAAGAAAACCTCCAGAGAAATGATTTAGGAGACAAGAGACAAAGTCACAAAACACTTTGATGTGAGTGACAAAAAATAATCTATTACATGGAGACAGTAGAAAATATAGTGGTGGTAGTATTTAAAACGTACATGTAAATTTACAACAAACTAATTGGCCTCAAACACCATCTAATTCAAAGTGAGTGATATACACTTATCTAAAGCATATCAAAATTGCATACATGCTTAAAATGATGGAAATAGAAGGTTTTATTTTTTTCCAGCTCAGTATAAATACTTGCCTCTAAATCATAAGGACCTGAGTTCAGATCCCCCAGAATCCAGATAGACAATAGGCACAGTGGCACACATGTCTGTAACCTAGCAACACAATACAGAAGGCAGAGGCAGACAGATTCCTGGAGGCTCACAGCCAGCTAGGCTGGTCCAACTGGTGAATTTCTAAGCCAATGAGAAATCCTGTCTAAGCAAAAGGGAGACGTCTGAGGTCCAGCTTCCCCATGCTATTCTCTGACATGCACACACACACACACACACACACACACACACACACACACACACGCATACATACATACACGCATACCATGTATAGATACATACTCATAAATATACATATCCAGCCAGCCACATATCAGCCCCCAAACACACACAGCTTATATATAAATGAGAATTTTCTCCCTAGTCAAATAGAGATGTTTGTATAGAAAACAGGGCTATTTCTCTACTAGAGAAACAACTATTTGCTAGTGACTTGGTGGTTTGTTGACATGAAAGCAAAACATACTCCTCAGAAGTCCTAAAATTTTGCTTAATGATATCAGTCTTTAGGTTAATCTGATTCTATCAAATTTTTCTATGTTAGGAAGAACTACCTAAAACTATCACTTCTAGATGTAAATGAGTGTGCTCACAAATCTGTAACTGAACACCCAACTTAATGGATCTCAACAGTTGGCTGCCATTAGACATCAAGTGCCAGGCAACTGTTTGAACAAGACCTGAGAAGACTACATAGTGCACATAAAACATCAACACTATTCTTGTGAAAACCGAGAAAAGCAACAGTTGGAATACACTGCCAACTTTAATTTCCAATTTTGTTTTTGATGTGCAGTAAAGATCTAGCTGTCTCCATCTCCTAAGTGATTGGTCTAAGTGTGCACTGGTAAGCACATGAAGATTCCAACCAAACAGTCAAAACTGTGTAGCACAACTCTCAATTTGACTAAAATGGATTATTAGAATAAAATATAGAAGACATTTCTTAGATTGTCTCCTTGTTGTTATACATTCAGGGGATGAACCCATGAATGTATAGATTTATAAAAACAGTTCATGGGCAGATAAATAATTTTTTTCCATCACAAACATGTGCCACATAACTTCTCTAAGTATCTAATTATTTCACTTAAAAAGTGTATAATTTACAAAGCCATAATCTAAAACATATTTAGATGTAAGGAAAATGTACATGTAGACATACAAACACATATATATTGATATACCATTAAGTATATCTGGAAGTTAGAAAACAGCAAAAAATAAAACAAAACAGCAACAAACAAATAAACCACAATCTCACTAGGCCATAATATATACCGTCTTGGCTATAATATATACTGTGTGTGTGTATGCATGTGCACAGGTATATAAGTGTATATGCTCATGTGTGTGTTCCTGTATGTTTGTGTAGGTCAGAAGTTGGTGTTGAGTGTCTTCAATGATGGCTTTCAACCTTATTTTTGAGACAGGGTCTCTCGCTGAACCTGAAACTTGCCAATTTGACTGGACTGGGTAGCCAGAAAGCCCCTGTGACCCTCCGATGTCTACTTCCTAACACTGGAATTACAGGTGCCAACATCAAGCTTAGTTTTCATGTAGATTCTGGGGACTCAAATCTGGATACTTGTGCTTGTATAACAAGAACTTTGCCGACTGGAAAATCTTCCCAGGTCCTTATGTAACATTTTAACCTCTATCGGTTGCCAAACGATGTAGTGAATAATGAAAAGGATAATGGTCAAAATAATTATTTTTATACATAAAAATAAGAATGCTCATTTCTGCATGTCTCATGTGTGTTTTATATCCATTATCTCCCTGCATTTTACTGAGCACTCTATAGGGGACTTAGCACCAATTTCATTTTAGAAATGAAACTTGGAGGAGCTAAATAGGCTAAGTACTCGGCACAGAGAGCCAAACAGGCACCATGAGGGTCATGCTGCATTAAGTCCTGGGGCATCAATCTTAGCAGGTTAGTTCTGAGAAGAGACATGGATACATGACGATTTAGGGAGAAGCATGTGGGTGAAGAGGGATAGAGAAAGAAAGGGAGGGAGACAGGAAGAGGGAAGGAGAGAGGGGAGGGAGAGAGGAGTGAGGAAGAGGAGCGAGAGGGAGAAGGAGGGAGAAAGGGAGAGTGTGAAAGGCCGCACAGTATGTTGGTTGGTGTGAGCAGAGAAAATGGAAACTTCTGAAGTCTCATTTCAGAGATGCCTGCATAACATTACATTCTGTAAAGAGCACAAAGACAAGGTCTGTTTATTAACTCGAAGGACAGAAGTGTCTCCCAGACACTTGAAGTATGTTAATAAAGATAAGTGGGAAGAGCTATGTAATTTTTTCTGTTCCTCACACTCATCGTGACATTATCCAGAGTCTGAATCAGACATAACTGTGGATCTAAGTAATACTGACACAGTAGAAGAAGCTTTTATAAAAATAAGTATGCTTTAAAATATAAACATAAAATATTACAATGAATGATAGTATAGTATTATACCAGCTGTGGGATAATGTTTGGAAGACATCAAATTTTCAAATAGAATTAAAATCTTTCTAAGAGCACAAATGTTGAATCAGAATGGGACATTTTCTTTAGGAAAATGTACTGTAGCTTTTGAAGAAATCTGATGGAGAAAAAAATCAAAAATATCAATGTATAAAGAATAAGGCAGCATCAGTAACAAGGGGCCAAATTTAGTAAAAAATAGTAGCTGTTTTGCTAACATGCAGAAACTGATACATTTTCTTCAACATGGTGTGCAATGCTCTTTTTTAGATAAGAAATATATTCAACTTACTAAAGATTTATCTGGATAGACCCCAGCTCGCAGCAAAGATGCCTTCCAGCTGTCCACATCCTCCTGGGAGTCGCAGGCCAGCTCCAGGAAGCGATAGTCTTTGTATACATTCCTAGAGTTAAAAAAAAATACACTCGTTTAGCTAAGGACCAAATTCAACATGAACTCAGACCGCTGCAGACATCCATGACAGTTCCAAAGGTTAGTTCCCTGAAAACCACTAGCTGCAAGCACAAGCTACTCACTGTATTTTAAAATAACAAGTGAGCTCCAATGTGTACTTCTCACAGGATTCTTTTTAATAAATCACACAGCAAAGATCTCACAGTTATTTACAGTGCTGAGATTTAAACTAAAGAGCCTGTAGAAAGAGGACATCAATTTTTAAATAAAATTACAATCTTTCCCTTGGTCTAAGAGTACAGAGGAAGGAGCTATGTGCCAGGATATTTACCTAGCATGAGGGAGACCCTGTGTTCGATTCCCAGATCCATGAAAACACAGACAAAGGAAACCCTGTGGGGATATGTGCTGATGAGCAGCTGTGTTCTGGAGAATGCACTTGCCATTGTTCAATAATTAGCTCAATTTTCTTACTAAGTAGCTTATAAAACTTGGAGAAGTACAGTAATAATCCTGTAAATCTATAAACAACAAAACAGTTGATGACTTGGCTGTATTCAGAGAACAAATGCTCCTCTGGGTGTGAAAAGCCTGGTCACCAGTACTAACAGGTGAGGTGCCTCTTGCTGTTAATTATAACTAGAACAACGTTTCAGTTTCCTATTTTCTTCCAGACAGTAAAACAACACGTAGTATGTAATAAATACCAACATTTGAAATTTGGAAACTAGACAAAAGAACAGGAATAATAATAATCCTCCATGTTTCACTACTTATAAAATTGTTTTCTTATAATTTTCCATTCTGAACATTTTTGATACAGCTGAGTTTCCCTCACTCCTTTCCTCTCTAGCACTGTTTCAGTGCCATGGCACTGGGGTCTCCAGAATGCCGGGGCCTCCTGCTGCAACTGAGCTGCACTTTCACCAATAGTCTATCCTGGGCTCTCTTCACAGCGTCAAGCCTCAAGTCTCTGCATGGCTCCTTCAGTCGAGGGCTTCAACTGTTACTGAGGCTGCACCTTCAGCCATGGCTTGCCTTGGCTTCTCATAGCACCAAACCTCAGCTGCTCTCCATGAACCCTTCCTGCCTTCAAGCTAGTACCACTTGGAGACTCTTACACTACCAAGTTCAGCTGTCAGCACAAGGTATGACCTTGGCTGCTTCTGGAACACAGCTTCTATGTGCTGGCCTGGAGGAAACACTTCCCAAAAGATATCACCTCAGTGATGCTGGCCTCTTTTTTATATTTTATTTTCCAGTTTAACTTTAGATAAGAAACGAGGTTGCTTCACAAGTCAGTTCCTGGTCCCTCTCCCATTCCCTCCCTTCCTCCCGTGCCCTCCCCCCAAACCCCCCTTATCCCCTCATTCCCCCAGGGAGGGTGAGGCCCTCCATGGGGGTGTCCATAGTCTATCATTTCATATAGGGCAGGGCCTAGACCCTTCCCCAAGAGTTCAGGGTGAGAGTGCACCTCACATTGTTCTATGGGAGTCCAAAGTCCGTGTGTATACTTGGGATGGGTACTGATCTGCTGCCCAAGGCTCAATAGATTCCCTAGGCCTCCTCACTGACACCCAGATTCAGGGGGTCTTGATCAGTCCCATGCTGGATTCCCAGGCTGATGCCTGGGATTCAAGAGTTAACCTTTGTCTGGTCAGCTGTTTCTGGGGGTTAAACCAGCCCAGTCTTAATCCCTTTGATCATCAGTCCTCCCTCTCTGTTACTGGCTTTCTTGAGTTCAGCTCAGTACTTAACCAAGGGAGTCTGCCTCTTCTTCGATCAGCCACTAAATGAAGTTTCTGTTTCCCAGACTCTCTGGCCATAGGGTTGTAGGCTGGCACTCCCCAGATCTATGTCTAAAATCCATATATGAGAGAGTACATGCCATGTTTCTCTTTTTGTGACTGGGTTACCTCACTCAGGATGGTTTCTTCTAGTGTCATCCATTTGCCTGCGAATCTCGTGATTCCATTATTTTTTTCTGCTGCATAGTACTCCATTGTGTAGATGTACCACATTTTCTCTATCCACTCATAGCCAGAACTTGGAAGCAACCTAGATGTCCCTCACCCGAAGAGTGGATAGAGAAGATGCTGGCCTCTTCTTAATCACCACTAATTTCTCAACCCCACTGGTCTTTTGTTAATCACAGTTGATTATTTAGCTCAGCTGACAGATTCTTAATTTAAATATCAAAAGGGCCTCCCTCTAAAACAGGGTGCAACCTGCATAGCTCATATCCTGAATATCAGATATTTACAACTGACAACAGCAGCACAATTATAGTTTTGAAGTGGCAATGAAATAATGTTATGGTTGGGGGGCACCACAACATGAACTGTATTAAAGAGTTGTGGCATTAGGAAGGTTGAGAACCACTGCTCTAGAACTTCACAAGCCAGGCTTCCATCATCTGCGTTGCTTTTAGAATCATCTCTAATCTTCTGGGCTGGTTTGAACAACAACTCACCAGGCTTTGAAAACTCAATGGCTTTTCCAGCCCCAAGTACCAAAGTCCTTTGCCAATCTTCCCCCAAAACAACACTGACAGGTCTATCACAGCAATATCCCACACTCCTACTACCAATTTCTGTCTTACAACTGTGACAAAACCCCATGACCAAAAGCAACTTGGGGAGGAAGGGGTTTATCTCACTTACACTCCAGGTAACAGTTCATCATTGAAAGTAGTTATGTCAGGAACCTGGAGACAGGGCTGACGCAGAAGTCATGGAAGAACACCGTTTACTGACTTGCTCTTCGTGGCTTGCTCAGTCTACTTACTTATAGACCACAGGAATAACAGTCCAGGAATAGCCCCACCCAAAGTGGTCTAGACCCTTCCCCAATCAATCACTAATTAAGAAAATGCCCTACAGGTTTGAGCACAGTCTGATCTCATGGAGGCAATTTGTCAACTTAGGTTTTTCCCTCACAGATGACTCTAGCTTGTGTCAAGTTGACATAAAACTATCCAGCATATACTCTATTGATTTTATGTCCTTTTTTTCACTTACTGCTACATCATGGTCATTTATATGCCATAAAGTATTTATAAAGAGCAAATTATGATGATATAGCATTCATCAGTACAAATGTATAATGATTTACTTAACCGTCTAGTGTAATGAAATTGGTTTTTGGTTTTGTCATCATAAATGGCATTTTGCTAATGACTGTCACATTTACTGTGATTACATTTTTTAAAGAAAAACTTCTATAGTTATAGAATGAAATTTATGTTCATTTGATGGACATTTAAGGGATATTACTGTCATGTTTTCAGAAAAAAAGTTCAATTTCAATAGATAATAGCACTATTTTTCTTTTCTGCTTACTCTTGTTTGACATGTCTTCATTTGGGTCTAACAGCCCCCATTTGCACCAATCCCAGAAGGCACTCATGTTTGTACCCTCTGTCCAGACCTTCCCTAGAGTCATACTACCTATTGGCTTCTCTACTTGAGTATCTCAAAGGAACAAACAGCAAAGTGAACAACTGAACTGATGACTTCCTGCTCAGCTTTCTTCTACTCTTCCTATTCCAGGCAGCGGTGGTGTAACCCAGAGACTTGATATCTACACACCACACTTTCAATATCTTCCACATGGTATTGCCATGTTACCACCCAGGAGCAGCTTCCTTTGAGATTGGTTACCACCTTATCATCAGCCTCCTCATTGGTCTCTCTGTCTCGGCATCACACTGCCCTTTTCATTTACTCTATGCACTCAATTCTTATGGTCCTCTGAAAATGTGGCTCAGCCATTTTACTCTAATGATTGCAAGCTCTTAGCAATAAAGACTACCGGCAGTGTCTTAGTTAGAACTTTACTGTTGTGAAGAGACACCATGACCATGGCAACTCTTCCAAAGGAAAGCACGTAACTGGGACTGGCTTCCGGTTAAGCGGGTTAGTCTATTGTCATCATGATGGGAAGTACGGCAGCACACAGGAAGGCATGGCACTAGGAAAGGAGCTGGATCCTGAGTCAGCAGGCAGCAGGAAGAGCAAGTGAGCTTGAGCTTCTGAAACCTCAAAGCCCTCCCCCAGTGGCACTCTTCCTTCTACAAGGCCACACCTACTCCAACAAGGCACACCTCCTAATAGTGCCCCTCCCTAAGAGCCTATGGGAGCCATTTTTAGTCAAATCACCACAGCTGGTATGCTGGCTCACAAAGCCTTCATCCCTGGCATCTTCCACACAAGGAAGAAAAAACTTCCTTGTCTAGCTACCATGCCTCTTCGGGTTTCTGGAAAATATCAGATGCTGGGCCTACAAATGCCCCTGTACATATTGTCTTCTGCCCAGCTCTCTTTGCACAGCAGTTACTCTTTATGGGGGGAGGGGGAGTCTCAGGTCAGTCACTGTGTCCACAAACATCACATCCATGAAATCCCAGGGCAGCTCCCTTTTCATGCATTTTTCACACTTCTACTCAACTTTAGTTCCTTCCTATCTCTTATCAAGTTTCTGATTTCAGAATTAAATATATTTCCTCTTTTCTGTCCTCGACCTTTTCCTTCCACCCTGCTTCCCTGCTCCTTGTAATCATTCATACACACCCTGTCTTTGTTATTTATGCTGATGAACATCTGTTTTTCCATTCAGCTGGTATACATCATAAAGACAGAAAGTGCACCATGTTTATGCTTGTTATTATATTCCCCAGAGGATTTTGAAAAGATAGTGACTTAATTTTACTCTGTTTCCTCACCACTCTCCACTCAAGTGAAATGTATCCTCTTTTCTCAAGTCAAGTCAATGTTATCATTGGTGCACGGGCAGTAGAAAGGTATGTGAATGAGATAGCTTTCTTACTTTTGGATGGACAAGAGCTTTGTGCCCACAGGAGTGATCCAGGAGAAGCAGCATGTACCAGACCATTTGGAGTACCAACTCTTAGTGATGGGAGACTGTTCAGTGTGCCTTATTCTCTGTTCCTAAGGAGGTATGCTTCGGGAGCAAGATTTTTCTTCTCTC